ACATAATATTAAAATTTACATTTACAGTGCAAAATAAACTCATTCAGGAAAGCAATATTATTCTGCACCACGACAAGCAGAGCGTGCTAAATAACATTAAATACAGCATATTAATATTGTATTGCCATGGTAACTGAGTTTGACACACCACTACTCCACATCCTACTTCCTAACATGTACTCATGCAGGCACACACAACGCATATTTCTGACAGCAATTCTGTGGCCGCAAGGAAAACTAGGGCATATTCCACAAGTGGCCAGGCTCTGCCCTCTGTCTGCCTGGCATGCCATCATCTGCAATAACAAGTCAAAGGCCTTCAAAGCTGGACGACTGAAAGGGAGGAAAATCGGAAGAAACGAGGCAAAGGGAGAGTCAGAGGAGGCCCTCTGATTCATCTTTAAAAGACGCTCCTTATTGCATCTTTAATCATCTTCCTCGATGCGCAGGGACAACTCGACAGTTGGCTTCCAGAACTATTGAATTCACACCCTATTGAGTCGAGTCACTCAGGAGGCTCGAACTGGGCTTTCTTCTCCCTGCCCTATCTCTTTTTTAACTCTCCTGTTTTATCACTCCTCATTTCCATCCCAGTGAGGGGCTCAGAGAGACATGCTGCCTAAGAATTGCAGTGGTATATGGATGCTAACATGGTCAGCTAAATGTTTCAAGAGGCAGGGGATATGACAAAGCCTTTCCCTTGTACTACAAAGCCTTGCTGTAACTTTGTCACACGCCTTGACTGACAGATTCCCAGAGCCGATTTTCTCTGATTTAATGAAACTATTTTGTAATCTAGATTTCAGATGAAGGCATACATCAGTAAAAGTGAAGAACACTGGCAGGCAAAGACTCTGTGTTATGGAGGACATAATATTATGACTGACACTAGATCATACATTTTACAGATAGAGAGGGAGTCTTAAGGAGTGTAAATGTTGCCCTGACAATGTGAAGACAAATGTTTGGGAGTCCTGGGGGTTCGGACTTTGATTATGAATGGTTAACACTGGCTACCAGAAAGAGGATTGTGAGAATATACACACACACAAAAAACAAATCCAAAGCATTAATTCAGAAATTAATTTAACTTTTCAGCTACCCACGGGATCAAAAATTACATCAGCTAGTGAGAAATAGGTCAATGTGGCCTTTGGTTCAGCTTTTCAGTTTTCTGTTCTTCTTTCAAAATAAAAAGGCACTGATTGTACTGTAACTGTCCTTCATCTGAACTCTCATTGGCTGTTAAATACATTCATGGTTTTTGATTTGCAAATAACAGTTCCCATCACTCAGTCAAGACATCTGCTTCATTGTTTTTTTGGGGGGTCTTTTATTGCCTTTAATGGATACAGAAAGCTGTAGAGAGACAGGAAAGGTGGAGAGAGAGAGGAGATGACATGCAGCAAATGGCCACAGGTCAGAGTTGAACCTTTGACCGCAGCAGCAAGGACTATCAGGACGCCCCAGATGCCTGCTTTCATGAAATGGCACATACTGGTACCAAAATGTGTTTACATTTTTCTAGTTCCTAGAAATCCTAATCAGTGCATATAGTCATATTGAATGATTAGTTAGCAGTCTCTATGGGTGTTTGTAGGGTGACACATTGCAGGTTTCTCCACCATTTTTGCAAAGCAACTATACTCAATAGAGAAGTGCAATTAATTTTTTAAACTGCACGTGCTGCTTCTTAATTAAACATTCTAGCATTGTTCTTTGTGAGCTAATTTCCCAAAGGCTATGATAGTAAAATATTGTATGACGGTTCATTAGGTGGAACTCTTACCTAATCTTTCAGGTGGAAAGGTAGTTAATGCAAAAACTGTTTTGCTGCTCAATGCTGTGGCCAGAGGTACAGTACATAAACTAAAGCAATCAGCGCTGATGTAAAGATACAATTGTATTTTTATTTACGAATGAAATGAATTAATGTAGTTAATTCAAAAGTTTAGTACTACAAAAAGTCAGAAATCCCTCCCTTTAAAAGGTCCAGTGTGTAGGATTTAGTTGCATCTAGTGGTGTAGTTGCAGATTACAACCCCCTTGCCTCACCCTTTCATTCTCATTTGTATCTAGAGCCAGTGTTTGGTTTGTCCGTTCTGGCCTACTGTAGAAACATGGTGGTACAACATGACAGCCTCCATAGAATAGGACTTGCTACCTCTGTAAATAAAAATGGCTCATTCTAAGGTGACAAAAACAGAATGATTCATATTTTCAGGTGATAATACACTAATAAAAAAACTATGAATATTATTTTCCATTTCTGACATTTTCCTCCTAAATGTTACACACTGGACCTTCAAAATGAAAGGGAATAACTATTATTAAACCATTTCTGCAGGGAAAAATAATATTAGTTTTCTGTTGGAGCTTAACGAGTTATTGTGGCTTAATTAATACCCCACAAAATCTCTCAAGTTAGATGTGTAAGAGATTTAGTTAAGGTTACAACAATCTTATTTACAGTGTGTTTCATCATTGTTCCTGAGTTAGTCAGTCAGTAGTCAGCATTTCTATTCTTCTCACTGCCTTCACGCCTACGAGCAGAGAAAAACTTACTTTCCTCAAGCTTTGTCAAGTGCAAATAATCATTTATTCTCTAACCCTGAATATTGTGTCGACAACCGAGGAAGGAAAAGAAGTGCAGAGACCGGAGAGCCACGCTGAGCCTCATGCTCCCTCAGCTCCGTTTCCACAGGCAGTGGGGTCAAACTCACAATTGAACACTGGCACCATTATTTACTGTAACAGCCATTATAATCGTTCTGAGACAATTCTAATGTCAGATAATATAAAATGAATATTGATGAGAAAATAGGAAGAAATTTAAAGCTGTAATGTAGATGTAGCAAAGATGGCTGTGTTGCGGAGGGGATGAGGAACTGTAGGTAGAAAATAAAAAATACAACAGCTAGAAAATTAAATGTACCAAAAAATGACCATGTATAAGGGGAGACGAACCTACGGACAATTAACACCCAACTCTGCAGCTCCCTTAAGCTTTACAGGGCTTTATAGTGAGGTTCAGCTCATTGTTTAGCTGCTGGCCAACAACTTTACTGTTCTGGTTCAGTCTGCTCTCCTAGCATCGATAACTGCTGCAGCATACATTTGTGAAAAAAAAAACAGCTTACTGTACAGTACCTGCTCAGTACCAGACAGCAGATAGATACAGTTAGCAACTCTCTGGTAAAGATAGTTGAACATTTAGCAGTTAAAGAGCCAGATATTTCCCTCACAAGTTGGTAGAGACCAAACACAGAGCAAAGCTAAAAAGCACACCTGGCACCAAATCAAACTAAATGTACACAATAATTCCTGATTTAATATCAACTACACTGATACAGATCATCATCAAGAACTAACTAAAGCACTTCAGAATATTCTGAATCTTCCTGGATGTACAATATGTACTCAGATAAAGTTCTATTGTTTCAGTTTGATGGGCTTTTTCCATTTATATGCTTATAAAATTAAGACATTTGGAATGTATCTGTAATATGAGAACAAACGGCATACATTTAAAGTCAGTCATCTTTTTCTCCCCTCTAAGTCAATTTAACTTAATTAAACACAATTTCATAGTTAGGTTAATGTTAGATGTTATTATAAACGGTAAAGTTATGATAATAAAGTTTATTGATTTCTATGACCCTTTGTAGTTGTAATGAGTATTGCCTGTATTTAAACATGACGGAAATATTCTTCAACTGGGATGTGAGATAATATGTATGTTTGTTAGATAATGAGCATCAGTTATTGATATTGTGATATGGAAACATATTTATAACATATGTTGCTGTAGGCATCCCTAGTAGATAAACATCTGCAACATGTGTAGAAAAACACGATTAAAATAATCAATGATAATATTGTTTCCAACATTGTGAATTTAGTTTGTTCTCTTCCATTCCTGCTTGAGCATAAAATACCACGTGTATTGTAGCGAGGCATTTCAGTATGTGATCCACAACCATTATTTGTCAAACAGCACAGGCCTTGCGCTTTTAAACACAAATGGCTTTGAGCAGCAGTTCACAGCAAATTATTCATACAATCCTGTCCTGAGAGAAAAAATAAATCTCTGGATGTTAAGCCACCACTTCAAAAGGTGAACCATACAGTGCTGCTTCATTTTAACCCTGTCTTCTCCTTCTTTATCTTACCTGACTTTAATTACTGCTGGCAGATCACATGGCTCAGTGAAGGAGAAATTAATGAAGAGGATGAAATGTGTGATTACATGCTAATTTGCCTCTTTATACCTAAAATGAACATAAATTACATTGTAACACGTGCAGGAAACCCCATCCCAGACACAGAATATTGCATGGATTGAAATTATGTAACTTTGGCCACACTTACATGCACACCATGATCTTATGCTAACATAAAATACTGCAATTAATTTTGAGGTTATGTAAAACCTTTATCTAAATATCTAATATACTGCTTTGAATGAGACTGATTATCAAAACTGGAATGAAGACATCCAGTTCTGTGATAAATGTTCCATTAATGGAGGGGTATTTGGACATGTAAATCCAATATTTCATATATGCCTGTCCACTGGGGACTTCACAAGATGCAGCATTCACACTGCATCGCTTCGTTTGCATGCAGTCTTACTGCCTTAAGCCTAAACCTTGGACAAATTGCAGACGATTATGTGTTAGCATAATTATAAAAAGAAATATAAGACTGCAGTTTATGACAGGAGGGAAATGACTAATGTTGGCCCAGGTCTATCAGGGAAGCAGGCAAATAATATATTCATCAATAATTATTGTGTACATGATTGCACGGAAACAGGAAAATTCATGGAATGAGCTTCTGCTGTGCATGTAAACAGCTTGATCATATTTTTCCCCCAAAGGGTAAATGTGTGAATATAAACACATTAAATGTTACATTCAGGATGGAAACAGAATGAATATGAACGTTATCAGTACACACAGGGTATGTCATCAGTATAAATGTTAAAGGAGACTTACTTGAGGGTGAACTGTTCGACAGTGGAATTGGGCATCAAGTAGAGAAAGATTTTGAGGGTTTCTCCAGGCTTCAGGGGCTTCTCAGGCAGCCTGAGGAACATGTTCTTGTCTAACTGCTTGTCCACCAGCAGCTGCTCTTGACTGGCCTGGTACAGGCTGATGCTCCCGATACGCAGCAGGGGGTGCTGTGACAGAGGTTCTCCCCTGGAAACACCACCACCTCTATGACCTGAGCCCTCACTGCACTCCCCATCCAGATTAGGCCCATGGAGTGTGTAGTAGAGCTCAGCCTGGAGGGTCTCACTGGTTAGCCCATCCAAGAGCCCGTCACTGGAACCTTTCCTCCGCCCCAGCGGGGCTACATTGGTGTTAAACCAGGACGGAGGCAGCTCAAGCTGGGCCAAGCACTGCGCCAGGTTGCCTTTCATGCGGCAGGAGGTTTTAATTTCACGGACATCCCGGAAGGCGTGCAGACGGACGCAGGGCAGTTTGTCCTGAGCCTTGAAGTCATCCCAGTCACGGCCAGCGATGTAGAAAAACACCTGGACTGTTGGGTTGTTGGAAAACACCCGCGCCTGGACAATGAAGGCCCGCACCTTCCAGTTCACTGTTAGCTGGCCGGCAATATCCAGTGGACTAGCTGGCTGGAGCAAGTCCTTGGACAGGGCCTGGTCCTGGGCAAAAGGCCCAAAGCTTATGTTGATGGCAGGGAGGTCTTTTGTCTGGAAAACCACAAAACTCTCAGAGCGCTGCAGTGGGTGTCCAGTGCTGGGACTACTGCTGCTCTTACTGCTGCCGCCAACTGTTTGTCCTGTGATCTGAGTCTCTCGCAAAAAGAAAGCCAGTTGTGCATTGGACATTTTAAAGTTGGCGGGAAGGTACACATTGGGTGGTGAAGGACTGGCTGTCATTGCTGAGGAACTGAGGAGGGCATCTGAGCTGGTTGGAGAGATTTTACCTGCAAGAGCTGTGAAGAGAGGACAGAGAAAAGAGAGGTTAAACCTTTAAATCAATTTTCCCTTTTTTAACAGAAATAATTCAGAGTAAAGTAGAGAAAATAAGAGTAGAAGAAAAAAGAAGAAAGAGACACAAAGAGGAGGAGTCAGTGAACGAAAATGATGAATGAAGCAGGAAGTCACAGAGGTCTGCTCTGCTCAGTCAGCCGTAGAGAGGCAAAGGGTAGAAGGTCAACACACACTAATCAGATGATAACTGGTCAATACATGTCAAGCTCTTAGAGCACAGGCTATCCAACAAAACATGTTCACATTGTCAAGGTGCACGGCATGTGATCTTTAACTGGGACGCAACAACACATTCAGTTGGTGTTCGGCTATTCAACAGCTTGAACTGGAACACAGAAAATACACACCGCAGATCCTTTAAAATGGAAAAAACACACAAACTCACAAGGGACATGAAGGTATCCCTAAATTAGAGAATAAAACAAGTTCCTTGTTTCATTCTAACATATTCTCTATGTGTTAACATTGTTATCCAACGTACTGCACTGACTGCACTTGTTGAGAAAAACAAATCCACGTTGCTTAACACCTAAATTACCACAGCGAAATCAAAGTAGGGCAAATTCATCATAGAACAAACAGAATAAATGTGACATACTTATCAGAATTACCCAGAGCTGAGCACAAAAACATAGTTGCCTGTCCCCATGGTCCAAATCATAGATTAAAAGTCCCATATTCCAAATGGTTTTATCATTGAAATCGCATCCTTAAAATCAGAAAAAATCAAGAGGCTCTTTTTTAAAAGGAAAGCCTCTTCAAAAAGGTTGTGTTACACAGCAGGCACTCCAAAGAAGTTTCCCTTCTTTTTTGGTTTCTCTTCAGAAAATCTTTGTCAGGAGTTGCAAAAGAGTAATAAATGAGGGTGAAAAAAGAAAACAGCAATAGCTCCAGCAGTTTTTCACTCGGCCACGTTCTTGTTGCTGCCTACAAAGGTTCCACCGAGCTTCTTGAACTTGTGCTTGTCTAATTCCTTGTGGCTTAGGTCTTGGTTTAAGAGTGGTTCAGCCCCACGCAGCAGCTCTTTCAATCCCAGACTGTGCATGGCTCCAGGACAGACTCTGATAGACAGGCAGAGCCTCCTCCCGGTTGGTGGGCTGTACGGGAACTATAGACAAAGCCTTTGACGCCGCCCCATCTTGCCACACCTAGTCTCTAGTCTATAATCACCATTTTAGCTCCCGGTCAGAGCTAAGACACACAGTCCTCAGAGGACTCGACTCACACCACACACACCGGCACACACATGGAGGCGAAAGAAATAACACTCTCCAGCTCGATTCATCCTCTCCCTCTGGACGTGTTCAGGCAGACTCATGCAAGTGTGTGTATAAGCACTTAGTGTCAGTGTGTGTGTGTGTG